TTACTTACCAATAGTACCCATTTCTTGATCTTTGCAGCAGCTGTTCTTCGCCTGCGCAATTCCGAAATCGATTTGTAAACCCACTTTGGATAGATATATATAAATTATTTTCAGTTTTGATGCTTTCTTATAGCAAGCTGAAGCTCCTTCGATCAGCGATTGATAGAAATGTTTTTGAGACTTTTTATTTGTAGGTTTTTGATATTTTTGAATGGCAACACAGCAAAGTGCTATTGGTCGGTCGACTAGGGCGGGTGGGCGTGTTCCACACACAAATTATAGTCACATTGCAAAGGGTGTAAATTTTTGTTAGTTTAAATTTTTGCTTATGTTTTTTTTTTTTATTTATTTTGTTATTCAATTTGTAAAATTGACAATCTCGTTTATTTCCAGGTAAAAATTTAAAAGCGCGGCAAATAGATCATGAAAATTTGTTTTGTTTTTATTATATTTTTTTATTTTTGCTTAAGTGCAGCAAGAAGTGCGCTGTGAGCGGTCACGATACGCGGCACTCACTGAAATAATACACAAAACACACAGAAGCAGCGAAAAGACGTGACAGAGACAGAGCGCTAAGAACAGAATAACGAAAATAACAGACACGTCCACACGCCTGGAGTTTACCGTTATGAATGTTTTCGCAGTTTTCAAGCACAATGAATTTGTATAAATTTGTTGCATACGTCGCGCTCGGCTCACTTCGGCTCGGAACACTTCGTTCGTTTAGGCGCTCGTGCGCATGGATATTCGGCATTCGTAAACATTTCGTTCGGCCAGTGCAGAACAAACACTCAGGCCTTGCTCGTTGTTTGCCCCCTTGTCTTTCTATCTCTCTCTCTCTTTCTCTCTCTCTCTCTCTCTCTCTCTCATACGTTTTGAATGTTGTTTAACAGATAATTTCCATGTTGAAGCGCAGAAGCTTTGCTGTTGTTGCTAGAGAGCTTTTTGTTCACGCAAAGTTCTCTTGCGCTTTGAGTTCAATGCATTGTGCGTAAGTTTTGCATTTGAACACAGGGGAGGATTTAAGTTTAGCGAAGGTAATGGGCGCCTTAAATGAATAACAATAATGGGACTTTTTAACGACATACGTTATTAATAAAAAAATAACTTGGGCAATAAATATGCATAAATGATTAAGTATTTCATATACAACAGTATATAAAATATTAATATATAAATTATATATTGATTGTGCCAAAATTAGCAAACATTTTACAAATCTACATTACAGAAATATTGTAACTAATTTCAGACCTATCCTTTAAATGGCTGAATGATGGACCTAGAACTTTATATTACACAGAACAATAATATAAATTAATATTTAATTTTACATATATTTAGTGGCATACAAATATGACTTAATAAAATCATTAATAATTTGTAAATTTATATGCAATAGATGTATGTAAAAATATTGCTGTATTTTACATTCACGTTATTATTATGACATACAAAAGATTCTATTAAAATGTCTTACGACTGCGTTCAATTAAAAGTTTTCAACTTTTTTAATAAAAATTATTGTCCTACTCTAGTAAGCAGAGTTTCCATACTCTCTACCCCGCCTCTTCTCTCCCTCTCATTCTGTCTGTCATTAATTGCAAACACCCATGACCCCAATACTAAACTTTAAAACCAAATCCGCCTTAACTGTAAGTCGGAGTTAACTTTATATAGTGGGCTTGACAAGCAGCGATAAAGCGCCTGCAAAACTATTTTTAAACTGATTTTATTACCTCAGCGATTGAAGCGAAATTAATTACCTTTCCACTCACAACAACAAGAGGAACTACAAGCTTTATCTCCCGCTCTACAGAGCTAAATACCGAGGCTATGTTTGCAAGACAATATAAGCAAAGGATTTGCAAATAAAGAAAGAGAAGAAAAGGAAAAGGAAAACTTCAACAACACGCAAGGACATGAGAAGCGGCACACAACAACGTCTGTATGGCTGTGTCTGTGTGTGTGTGTGGGCAGCAGGTGTTGCCACGTGCACCGTGCCGAAGCAGCAAAAGTTACCACCTTAGCATAGAGCAAGTCGCAACCCGGCCGCAAATTAAGTTTTGTGGCTGAAGATGTCCTTGAACCAAATACACAAAGGCCCAACGAACATTTAAAAAAGACAACGTCATACGGGTAAGGACAGGTAAGACATCTACCTCCA